TTTAATTAATGCCGGAACCGTTCGCGGGAACGGTTCGCCCTATTAAACGGACACGCATCCGCGAGAGTCGCTCGCGAATCGTCGAATTAATTGCAAAAATGTGGCGATCAATCGAGCGTAGGTAATTTCCGCCGTACACGGTACCGGTACGCGTAACGACTCGTTTGACACGGTCCACGTCTAGACACGGTTACCTGGTCTCGATTGATAAACCGGTATCGCGGAACTGACGTCGGGCTGAAAGGACGACGAACAACAATCGGAAACGTCAGTCAATACGGGAACGGTGAACACTTTTACGGTTCTCGAGGTAACACGGGATCGTCGCGCGAGAGAAAATTCGTGAGGGAACGATGACAGATAAACGGCAATCTTTGGACGCATTGACAGGGAGCGGGTACATTTCGTAGGGGATCGTGGGTAACGGTCGGCCCTCGAACGGACAGGGACGTGCGAAAGGTGAAATAGAGTACTGGAACGTTGGAAGAACCGAGGAAAAGCGAAGTCTAACACGGTGACACCCACCTTGCCAGTGGACCACTCCTCTTCGCTCGTTGACCCAAAATCTTCTCGACCACGGTGACATTTCCGCTTCTCGCTGCCTCTAGCAGCTCCTGATCCTTCCCCATGGTCCATTTACACCGTAATCAACGCCCGATGTTCACCTGCACACTTGTCAATTTCTGTTTTTACTACGATTACTCGCGTTTCATTGATCCAGCGTGGCCATCTTGGGCCGACTGAGTCGTCACCTCGCGGTCACTTCGCGAACACCGGATCTCGCGCGCGCAACAGAGACGGGAACAACTGGAGTCTACGGTTATTGGTAGTCCCACGAGCGAGATAGAACGTCCACGGCGGAGAGGCTCGATGTATACCGCGCTTGGGCATATAGCCGACTGTAAGGTGCCAGCTGTTGCGCCGTACTGATTTTCCGTAGCTTGACGCTGGCTCGGCTTACCAGCTATTTAATCGAATAAGTGTGTCACGCGGCTCCTATCGCTGATCGACATGAGCGGTGATCATCTCAGACGGCCACTGATCCTTCTGTTGCTTGTCGGTGGCTGCTGTGCCGTGTTGAAAAAACCGATAATCCAGGCTCTGTACGGTGAGCACATAACCTCAAAGTTCAATATCCTGCCCTTGCGAATTTTTATCGGCTCTTACGACTTTCTTGAGACTACTTCAATGTTCTCGTTTTAATTCGATTGATTTTTCAGTTCGATTTCATGGATCACGTTAATTTTACCAGGTTCAACGGTTAACCAATTTAGAAGGGTTCCTATAAATATATGTAATCTTTCTTGTTGTTGATTTAAATGTGTAAACACATGGTATTCTAAGAATAACTAGCCCAACATTGTTTTTATAATTGCTTTCAAGGTGAAAATGTTTCATGGATAGTTTATAAAATATCCCAGGAAATATAACAGGATTCTAATAACCTTTGAGCATTAGCTGACTAATGTCAAGATAATGGATAATGTAAACAAATATAAAATTGATAAGACTGATAACATTTGATCGCAGTATGTTTTTATTGCGTAGCTAAGTGTTTATAATTGGTACTTAAAATAATATGATGCCACATTATCTGTAGCCTTGCCATTGAGTTTGATAGGTCAAAGTTTAAATTCGAAGAGCTCCCAACGGTATTATAGAAAAGGAAAGGTTTATTTGCTTTCGATGAAAGGAGGAAACATAGTAAGATGGTATTGATTTTATTTACCGTCGAAGAAATCAATTTGAAAATTCTAAAAGATGATTAGGAAATATTGTACATTATAGAAATAAATATACGTAACAACAGCAAAACTTTATTGTAATTCTAAAATAAAAAATAGTGAAGATATTAGGTTCCTATTCGATATAGTATACCCCATATCTATGTTGTAATAAACCTTATTTTCTAGATAAAAGGATGAAGTATCACATAAATGTATAAGTGGATCAAATATAACAATATACACTATAAATATAAATTTATTTCATATTCATTTTCAATTATTCATTACATTGTTATGTTATAATTACATGTTCCTGGCTATTTTCACAATTCAATTATAAGATATTAACCTGTAATTGCATTTTAATTATATAAACTGTAATTAGAATGCTACCTCTGAAGAAACAAATTAACACATACATATGTACACTATTCAACACAGTAAACAATATCACAATTATAATTCATACAGTTTTGTACTTCAATAACTGTTTATGTTGATCCATCAACATGTATACTATGTTACAACTATGTTCATAATTGAAAAACAATGCAATGGATCTACATATTCAAAGTCACAATAAAAACAATATACATTTTTCGTATACTTTTCCATATAATAAAATAGCCAGTATAAATGTGGAAGTATTTTATTACATTATTAACGTAATTACGGTAATTGTAGGACAGTAATATGTAATACATTTTACAGATGGGGACACGTTAAACGTTCATCTCTCTAAGAGTGATGATTTGTACGTTGAACAGATAACCATTGCCCCGAGTAGCAATGTTACCCTTAACATAACAAACGTTTCATCTTCCACCTCGTTTATTATCGCTCAAGTTCATGCGTATCAATATAAAGTTACGTTGTCGTACGATAAGGATCATTTACATGTAATTTCTAATAGAAGTGTGTTTGGGTCGAATATCGGCCTACACATACCGATGAATCCTTCGGTGGTGATAACACATTTATACTTGGAGAACGATAATGTCCATACCGTTCATGCTGTAATTGCTGCAGTTGCTTACAATAACAGAGGTGAGTAACCACTTATTGTTACCTTGCAAATGTTTTCTTGTTACACAATTTTGTTGAACCTTACGCAGACAATAATATTTAACACGTTCCGTGCCGTACCGTTTTTTAAGACTTTCCGTTCAGGCCGTATGGGGCGTATACGACCCACACTGTTACAAGTAAATAAAATTAAATAAACGCAGTATACATGATACTAAGATGCCTATATTTGACTCCACAATAAATTTTTAACAAATTCTTCGTTTTTCAATGAGAATTCGAAGTGGCCTGAACGGAACGTGTTAATATACCTATATTGTGCATCGCAAATTCTACACAAATGATAAATGCTCACATAGTTTTAAGCGGCAATGTAATTATTATACTTCTCTCGATTACTTACAAACGATTGCGGTTCGATTACACTGAAAGTCAGAAATAAAGACTGTCTCCGTAACTATGCGAAAATTGGGGGGACCAGCGAGACGCTCGGGACTAGTGGAAACTATTTATCTTTCACTGTCATTATCTTATGTTCTTCCTCGCTTCTCTTTCCCGATATAATGCCATCAAGAGCCTAGAAATCAGAGCCAAGGGGCCCAATATCGCGAAGTTACGGAGTCAATACTGTACATGACACAATACCCTCAGTTTATCTGTTCGCTTCAGATGTCGGATTTTAGATATATTGTGCTGAAATATTATTAAACATTCAATCGATAAATGATTCTTCTCGAGGAATAGGTCAGGAGTCTAGAATAAATCATTTTTAAACGAAACCATTGGTTTAATTAAATCTGACTTCGAAAATGTATCTGCTATATATTCGTTTCCGTGCGTAACAAGCGATAATGCTATATGGCGCACAAACACCTCGTAATCACATGATTTTGATTTAGTTTTTTATAAAAAGTTACCCGTTAGTACGATATAATTAATAATAAAACGTCCTGTATAAGGTGCCCTCGTTTTTTACGTACCACATATTCAGGATTAGTATCATTAACAATTATCATGGAAGATAGGCATTCGGTGAAAAGACAAATATAGTTTACTAGAAACGTCATTGAAAATCATGCGATAGTGAACAAAATAGAAACTGTTTTCATTTAACGCAATTGTTATGCGGGCACAATGATAGATTGCATAAGAGAAAGAGAAAATAACGATCCATACCATCAGCTCTTTGTTCTCTTCCTAGCACCCATACCGGGTGGATGCAATATGGAGTTCAATACCGAAATCGCGCCGTACGCGAAAGTACAGCTAGACAACACGATGATAATAGTCGATACGCAACCAGCATCTATACCTGCTAACAAATTGGCTTGCGACAAAAATCCGGTGCAACACAAAATGTATCAGATGTACTTGACCGAACAGGACTATAGCGTCGGGTCCTACATGACGGGTATTATAAATATGCTCACCGTGGAGGATATCTTGCAGAATGGCAACGAGGTACTGCAATATGTAGTTATACATTTCCTATCATTAACCGTGAATAAAAAAAAAGTCAGCTCATTAACTCATTTGCACTCTACGAAACTATGAAAGAATATACCCTTTTATAGCAAATATTTTTTATTATATCAAACTACAAGTATTTCAGGCAGTATAGAAAGCTTAATGTTTATATACCAATGCTAATGTGGAATAAATTTCAAGAAATATAATAATACTAATATGAGAAAGCAAATGGAGCACACATGTGCACCAAATGAATTAAAACCTACAAATTAATAAAGTTTAAAGAACCATTAAAGAGGAGTCAGGTTCTTAGAAAAAATTACGTACCGAATTGCAACAAATGAAAGTTCGCTCACCCCCTGTATTCAATATGTACTTATTTTTAGTACACATTTCGTCTACCAAATTAACCAAAGTCGCAATACAGTACGTAATTTCCTGGTAGGTCCCGGACAGCACTATACTCCCGCCAATGAGAAAAATCTTCAACGCATACACCGGAACTGGTTCTGTCTACGTCACAGTGGCTACTTACAACAATGTTTCGGCTGCATACATACCCACTTTCTCGCAGGGTTGCAATCCCTTAGTTGATCCAGACTCCTGCCAGGTTTTAAGTACGTATGATTAAACCGACTGCTGCGATCATAATCATCGGTCACGAAATCAATATTTTTAAACGTCCCTTTTTCTTCCAGCTAGCGCCTTCCAGAAATTCGTCTGCGCCTGCTGCTTCTTCACAGGTTTCCTATCTTTGCTATTAGGACCCCGTTGTCCCAATATCGACCAGGGTGTACCTGTGTTATTCGTCGGAACCGCGGTCACTTACATTTTCATACGTAAGTGTATTTACAATTAACCATGTACACTGAATATATTTCTTCGCTAGTTTAATTACTGAAACGATGTTAGAAGTAAAGAAGGAACTCAATTATCTTTTGTCGCGTAATATTACTCTCATATTCTGATGCAAGTCGATTTCAAATATACTAACTGCTACATGGTTACTTTGCACGAGACGAAATAATCCAGAGACTAATACGGAATCATGTCACTTCGTTGGTTCCAGTGAATATCGGTTGGGCCCTGCTATGTGGGCTTGCCGTCGTGATCATCTGGGGAATAACCGACTTCTTTCACCAATTCATCAACAAAATTCTGTTTAACATCAGCTTGGGATTCTTCGTCGCTTGTGTCACCTACTTCATGGCGCCAGGTAAGGGACAAACGGGGGAGACACGCGAAACGTTCATAAACGTGTTCAGAATTAAGGCGTCTCCCGGCACGCGAGAGGGGTCAGCCAGGGATTGTAGCAAATTATAGGAAAATAATGAAAGCCGGCTTAAAGCGAAGAGGAACGGAATAAAAGGGAGAGTCGGCTAGCGAGAGAGACAGCCCGCCACCTCGAACCAAACCGAACCGAAGTTGGTTCGAGTTTAGCGAAGGGATGAAGCACAGTCGGAGGGTCCCCCCGTAGCTTTTATCAATGTTGCTCGCTCATGTGGAAACTTCGGCTGCCAAATCCCCCCATGCAGCGGCGCTGGGCATTCGCGTTGCCTCCTACCTTTCTCACCATAACGTGGCAACCACCCTACACGGCCACCCTTGCACACACGCACGCACACGTTTGCGCGTGTACGCGCGCGCGCGAGCGCGAGATATTCGTCGCGTGCAGACAACCAGCGCACAAAAAACCCACCCCTCGACTCCCACGAACCGATTCTAACCAGCTCGAAAGATTCGCATTTACCTAATTGCGACCCCGTATTTATTTTGCGCTGGGACTTATTTAGATTGCACAGCCTGTGATTCGGCAACTGCGTTGGTCCGATCTATTCCACGTAGAATAGGCTATTAGCCTGGTCACCACCCTCTGGATAGTTCTCGTTGCATTGTCTTTCACGCGATATATGTGCGTATTCGGGGTTCGTACAGCTAGACTTCGACTGTCGCTTCAGCTAGAAACGGGGGTTTCATAAAAACGGAATACCTTATTTACTTGCACAGGAGCCATTTGTTGTATTTATCTTTCTTTTTTGTATATGCGTTGAATGCAACAGTACAGCTTCATTTTTTTTAAATATGATGAATACACATTAATTAAGAAAATTAAAGCATCACTGTACAGTAATTGAAAATTTGTTTCAAACTCAAATTTAACGCTGACAAAGCGAAAATTTTGTTTACGGAATATTGGGATTTCCAATCTTGCCATTGTCTTTGAATGTTTATAATACCAGATTACGGTGATGTGCGAAAGAATGAGAAAAACATTTTAATTACGCCGTATTCCGACGCCGTTTTCTTTTCCAGATTCTCTTGCATCTATTCACAACAATGAAGCTTTTTGGTTGCTGTTCGTAACCTTGGTAGTTATCACTTCGGTTCTCACGTTGATGTTCAGTAATTTTACCAGTATGATAACTTGTACCATATATTCAACCTTCATGATGGTGTTACCGCTGGATTATTATTTTGGTTCTTGCCTAAAATATATGATTATAAATGTGATAAGGAGGGCGACCGTTGAGGGTTTCAATAACGCTATTGTTTCACATCCTATTCAGGCAATCGGTATAGTCTTCCTACATTAATACATATAACGTCATCCTACATTAATAATGAATATTCAACAGAATTCAGTTTTTTAAAAATAACATTATATTTTCAGATATTACGTTAATCTCGGTGTGGGTAATATTGGCATTATATGGACTCTATAGACAAATCACATTAGGTATGTCGAGCGCTGAATCCCTTTCTCATAGGAGCTATGTCACTTTGTGAACGTGATGAACCAACTTCGACTGAGTAGTTATATAAGTTGATATTTTTTAATTACCAATAAAGCTACAAATAAACTTTATTAGATGTACCAAAACCCTGTTCCAGTAATTCATTGATAAGGTACTATGTCGTCACTCGTATTGGGTTATAAAACAGCGACAGTGAATTATCCACATTTTAATCGTATTTTTGTTTTTCAACGGCATTATTATATAATTTTTAAATCTTATATCTTTTTAAATGTAATGTTTATTAGCGCACATTAAGATACGATGTAAATCATTAGGGTTTAGATTAAGTATGTAATTTTATAAGAATTTTTGTATGTTTTATATGAAGCCAATTTTGGTTAGTTAATAATACCTACAGTATAATTGTTCCAAAGACTATTTGTTTTATGAGAAATAAAATACTATCTAAGAGAAAAATACAAAACAGTTATTTATGTTTGATAACGAACTCACAGTTCAAGGTAGAAGTTTCTCAGATGGCAAACTGATCAAATCGATAATTTTTCTTAATTACTTTCCTTTTACGAAGTTGATCAATTTATTTTCTGTGGAATGATGTGTAGCCAGGAATAAATGGGCAGGGAAATTGAAATGCAAGAAACGGACGCCAGACGACTTGCGTTGTCATTAAAATGAATTAACATTTATTGAATCGAGACAGTGACACCTAACAGTGGTTCTATATCCTACTACTTACAATCTTAAAGGTAATCACAGCAACAATATTATCTCCATTATTCACAACACTTACGTAGATTACTGTCGCAATAATATATTATTCTCGTTAATAAATTTATTAATACTCATACACTATACTCGTTATTAATAATTATCATTACAGATAATAAGAAAACTGCGTAACCACTTCCGCGTCACAGGTCGATCTACAAACGATGTTGCGGACGCGAGGGATCGTTTCGATGCAACCTAGACTATCCATTAACAATATTTATTTGTACAGTTGTATGGTCGAATAATATCAAGTTTTAATACTGCCAACAGAATGAAACTTATTAACGTCTCCTTTTGAAGCGTCGGTATATACGTTTTACAACACCTCTGATTTCATGTTTCCTTTCAAACGAAGAGTATTCTTCACCGGATACCTTTCCTCCGCTTTCCGATATCCTCTCGGGGCGCAGTCTTACATCCTGAGCGTCCGATCCACTATAACGGTAACTTATTAAGTACTCGCTCGTACTTGCAAAGGAAACGGAAAAAAAGAAAGAAAGAACAGCGAGTCGCACAAGCTGCGAGAGAAAGAGGATAAAACGAAACCCAACGTGATTTTCCTGTAGGCGGAACAATAGGAACTGAATATCGAAGCAAAGCTCCTGGACCTTTGGTTCTCGATTAGGATGTCAACGAGGAAGTGGTACATACGGATCGAAAACGAAGTGTATTTTGAAATCGTCGGTTCTCGAACGGTTGAGACGCCCAACGTGTGTGCTCTTCCGCTGGAGATTCCACTTCTCTATCGCGGCTACTTTGTTTCGGTTTTCTTCCAAAAATATAAATTTACTAATGTACAGTCCCCCGTTCATCGTGTACGTGTGTGTGCATTATGCGTGCGTTCCTCGCGTAGAAAATGTTTAATACGGATTTTTTTTGTACACCTAAGTCGCCGGTTGCCAGTATTCGCGGAACGCTGTCTTCCCACGGCACCGTTCTGTACACTTGGCGAAACGCGTCTCGTCCTCGTTCGTGTCTCGTACCGACACGATTACGCGAATTAACCCTATCAATTGCCGATAAATCGTTATAGCTCGGTCTCACCTACGGCTGATTTCGCGCAATGTTCTCAACGGACTCGGCCGGAAGTCCTCTGGCAAAGTTCGGCAAAAACATGATCCGATTCAGTATTCGGACAAACGATTAAAATGCGACTTTCGATTCGATTGCGAGTTAGGTAATCAGCTCGGTTTCAATTGTTACATTAGCCACGATTGAAGACCACAAGAAAGATAATGTGTTCCCGAATCAACCGTTACATTCGAATCGTCCCCAGCGGTATGCAATCGGTTCACGTTCCGCGAAAATTTTTAGCCGTCCGCGGAGATCGGATCGCGAAATCCACAAAACAATTGGCTCTGCTTGTTACATTTATTATTACACATGCGTGGGAATGCTGGTGGCGTATTTAATCGCGGGGGTAAACGAATGTGGTCGGCAGCAAGAGTCCTGGAATGGTCGAAGACAGGGAGAACAGCGACGATGGCCGAGTATCGTTGGAGTCACTGATTGAACACCGTTTTCCCGTATCAGGTACCAGCGACGAAGTTTAATCGACTAGCGAGCTGACAAAGTGAAGAGAAAAACTGGGGAGCAAGAGAAGCGCGAAGTTGCCGCGAAACATTTTTTGAAATTTCTGTATAACAGCGGGTCAATCTCGATATAAAAAGCCAATAATTATTTTTGTATATTTTATCTCAAACAATACCGAATAAATGCTTGTATTCGATGGATGTTTAGCTCCAGCGAAACAGATGGAATAATATTACCAGAGTTTGCTACACAGGTACATACCTTTTTTTTCTAAATCATTCTCAAAGGTTTGAAAGCTCATGACAGATCGCATCGCACCAAAATGATTGGAAATAAGTTTGATAACTATGCGCACTCTTTCGATAAAATAAATATCTCAACCAAACGCGAGGTCTCGATCAATGATAAGTTCCGTTTCTTTTTCTCCTCGATTTACCTTATCCGATCAAACGACAAGCTTGATTTATATATGTTTCTTTTTCGTTTAAATAAGCGCCGCTATTATTCGAGACGTAACGCCGAAGAGTGCTTCATGGACAAAAATTGCGACGCGGACGAGGGGTTGAAAGTTAATAAACCTGTTTCACGCCGAAAATATAATTACTGTGTGTTGCTGGCGCGCAAAGTTTCGAATAATTATGAACAGTGGCTGTGTACTTACGTCAATCGTACGAAAACCACGAGTTTGTCGCGCGTGCGCCGGTCACCGTCACCGTCGCGGCGACGGCGGTGGCCCACACTCCCGTTTTTCCCTTCCCTTTGCCGCTAACGCGATTAATTACAAATTTTATATCGCGTAAAAAGCCTTGTCTGAGGTAGTGCATATATATCAAATTACCCTGTACCGTAATTTTCCCACTTTCGGAACGCTCCGTGCGTACTTCGGCCACCGGAAATTCACTTTTCCGTGGGAACTGGTCCCGCGGGTCTCGATTCGTTCTCTGAGAAACGAATTTCCATCCGACGAAACTCCGCGGTCACGAAAGATGAAACGGGAATCGTATTTACCTAATTATACGACGCTTCGCGTTGAAAAATTGACGAAGATGTCGCGTCAACCGGAGGATGAACCGGTCCCCAGGTTCGCCGGTCACGATTTTTCGTTGTTCACCGCGTTCCTCGTTACGATCACCATTCCAAGACGTTGCCGTTGAAGCGTGAAACGTATACGTTCGGTTCTGCAGCGACTTCCGGGAAACAATGAGCGAATAAATGTAGGCTCAGGTCGCGTGGTAACGACGCGACAGCGGGAACAGTGACATTTTGCTGCGCTCTTGTTCGCCGACAGTAAAACCTGCGGTTCGCTTCCGGTTCGAGGGAGAACACCGAATATAGAGGCAAAAGAGCTGTGTATGTGTGCGCGCGTCATTTACAACCGTACACCTTAATAGTCATAAGGTTTTTCTTTGAAAATTGGTTTGATTACGTGGTTAAGATTAAAACGACTTGTACGCGGATGCGGCGACGCGTCTTTCTTTTATTTAAATGTGCAAGGATTCCGAACGGTTCTATAAAACAAAGTTCTATTTGTAAAAGATCAATTTCCAGGGAATACTTTGAATTTAATTTATGTTAATTTCGTTAGATACATCTATACAAACCGCCGAAAATATTCATTGTCATCCAATAAAATATTAAAATGTAAATTAAACTCTTTTATTGCTTGTATTTTACTTCCATTCGTAATTAGACACGCAAGATTCCTACCGACGACTTTGGTGCGTTATTTGAATATCCCTTATCTTTTTACAAATGAACCATACAATCTGCAATCGTCGTATATCAAAGAAAAAATATCCCAACAGGCTTGTTCGCAAATTATTTTATTTTAATCTCAACTGCGTGACGAAAGCAATTTTGAAACAAAAGTTCCGCGAGTATTAAGATGCAGCGTATGGAGTGACGCTCACTGTACGTGTGCGAGTGTGAGTGGTGTGTGCGAGTGTACGATCTCTATGAAATGGTACGTTCGAACGGTACACCGTTTCTCTTACCTATACGTATATACAGAATGTATCGACGATCCTTCCTAATGTACATTACAGACTAGGAAGAGTAACAAATGCTATTTTACAATCGTCTTTATACAGAAAATCGGTGTTTCGGTCGCGAGCGACGGGCCATCGTTGACGGGGTGGAGGTAAAATGGAAGACAGCCCGTCGCGAGCGTCGGAAACACGACGATAGGCTTGCGAGAGACGAAGCTATTGGATTCCAGACAATCACCGTGAACCATGAAATGCCTTCTCGCCTATTCAGACGTCCTTTTTGGTTTGATATTACTGCTACGAACATCCTCCGTTCGAGTCGTTTCGGAACGTTAACACAGCAATCGACGCAGTAATCCTGGTTACCAGCTACAGATTGGATTGTCTTAATCTAGAATCGCGTTCATTTGGACCAAGGGGTGTAACGAATCGTCCCGCGTGTATCGGAGAAAATGTACAGTGTGTGCGAGTGTCTGGTCGGTATTCGGTATTCGAGTACTCGGTACTCAAGTACTTGGTGCTTAAATGCATATATTTGGTTACTCGTTATCACCTTCGATGACTCGGGCGCGATAATAACCGAGACACGTTTTTTATCCAGTGTTTGACGATCTTCTCGTTAGTCGGTATTGAAGCACTTAACACTTGGTGCTCGAGTAGCTGATATTCGAATACTCGGTATTCTGTACTCAAGTACTCGGAATTCGGTATACGAATCCAGTCGATGCTCGTCGCGTTCTGAACACAAGGTCAGGAAAAGTACTTCCCATCGAAACACAAAACGTCTTAATGATACGGATTGATTCTAGGTTAAAGCTCCTAGCAACTGCCGGACACATGGTTCTAGCGACAAAAGAGGTTATTGAGGGGCGTTGCACATACACGGAAGAGGCATAAGTTACGGTACTCTTGAATTCTTTGCGAAGTCTGCAAGGAAGGATGCCAACCTTCAACGGAATTGCGGTAAGTCAGCTCGAACGAATCTAGCGAGAGTATTGAATATGATCTGTTTAAAATATTATTGGTTACCGCGACGGTCCACCGTGATATGCGTAGGGAACTTCTGAATTTCGTTCAAATTTTATAGTAAAAACAATTGTTTTCATACCAAGTTAAATTTCTTATTGGAAGAATGAACTTCCAATCTCGATTTCATATTAGAAAATACGATCGCCATGTTTCTCTGCATCCTTGGAAATATATTCGAACGCTTCTTTACGCGCGTCAAACGAATCGCTACTGTGTTTTATTTATAATCAGAATTTTCCTATTGTAACAATCATTTGTTGGAGATCCTTGAAATCATAAATGTCCTCGTTCGGTCTTGTAAAATAAAGTTCGATAACAGTCACTTTTCTTGGAGCAATGAAGCGTTCGATATGAAAAGCGTAGTCAGCCGACGCCATATCTGCGAGCGAGCGTGATGGCCGGCCTCCGAAAAAAGCCACCCTCGAGGGTAGCTATCAATTCTGGCGTTCCCTTCCTCGCGAGCCTGGTACGAGCAACAGTAGTCTCGCAAGAATATTCGAAGCGAGAGCCCGCCTCCCGTTCCTTGAAAACCCACTGAAATTTCCATGCGATTCTCAGGCCGACAGTAACGTCACAGAAATAGTTTATACCCCTTCCACTTATACGAATTTTACGATCACTGCTTTAACCGAAAATCTACTTTTAAGGAATATCAATAAAAATTGTCATCCGATCCATTAATTTTTGTAGAACTCACATAATTTCGCGTGGTATTTCAATTGTTAAACGACGCATTTCAAGCTGCAATTTTTTCTATTCCGTGTCGCCCCAGATCACGGTGGACCGTTGAATAATCAGTTTCGGTGCGACGAGGCTTCGTGCGTTCATTTGTACAAACAGTCGTGAGTAGAAGGATAATATACCCTGCGTGACCCGGGTCATGCGTATACTTCTACGACCTCTAGATTAAACACGAACCGAAGAAGAGCCATCGATTCGCTCGGCTCTCCTCGATGTATCGCGTGTGCGCAATAATCGAGAAAAATAATTTTTTCCTTCTTTTTCCATATCCGAACGCAAAGAGTATTACTCGCGTGAAGAACCGGTGTTCGATCTCGGAAAGCCACGGGATCATTGGCGGATAACGCGTTCTTTTTTCCTTCGTTTTAAGTTGTTTCGACGGCGAATTTCGAACGCGAGTGTTCTCGTCTCTCGGCAACCGAAGGAACCAAAGCGTCAGCGGTGGCCAGTCGTCGGCGAAATTTGGCAGGCTTCCAACCGGGCTAATTAATCGAATTAAAGCAGACTCGTTACCCTTTTTTCGGCTCCTGTTGCGTCGCTCGTTTAACAGGTCCCTAGACAGAATCTTTGAACCCTGCCGTTCTACGCTGTAGCAAAAACTATAACCAGACTGTTTGCTTCAACCCGATTTCCTGCTCTAATCTATTCCCTTATACGGTAGAACTGTAAATATTCATGGAATTGTACTGTACAATAATGTTAAAAGTATAACACGGTAAAAAGTTTGTTAAGATCGAATAAAACCGTTCTGCGTGTCGCGCTATCCATTTGCACAAACATTCGTGATTTAGTTCCACGTCATCGAATTGCAAAACAAAACGTCGGAACCTGACAGGCCTGCTTGAATTTAAAATAACGTCCACCGATCCGCGAACTAGCTAAAACTTACTGAACTGTAACAAAAATTCCATTGGCCGAACTTAAAATAAAATTAACACTTCTCCAAATCTCATCGGAAAACAGATGCAGATAGCTTTGCAAACCAACACCACTACCGAGTAAAACGAATTCCCAACGAAACAAAGCTCATAGAATCATCACTGAAGCAAACTTTCGGTACCTAGTCCCGCCGGAGACCGAGGACACTGTCCTGAGTCTACGATCCTCTATTTCCTATAGTCCGTCCGACGAGACGAGGCAGTAGACATACAAAATCATTCAACAGCGAACCATGGCAATTGTCTGGCATATACGGACTCTTCTATTGCACTGAAGGGTACGTTTACAGCGGAACTGCTTGCATCGTCGATCAATTAACTGAACCTAGCTCTACGCTTCAACTTAAACGCCTTCCACTCAAAACGAAAGTACACATTCCCTTATAACACAGCTTCGCGTATAAACGTACCCTAAGGCTACAAGCACGCCAGAAGTTCGCGGGAAAATATCGCAACGACGATTGTTTTGGGAAAACAGAGTCCTCTCGTCCTTCTTTTCATAAGACGTAAGTCTTATGTCTCCGAAACAATCGTCGCCGCATTTCCTCGCGAACCGCTCGCTTGTGCTAAGCCTAAGTTAGCTGTCGCACGCGTTTGTTCACGTTTATTGGCCCGTCTCGTCAGGCAGACCACAGTTTCACCGGTGTCTTCGCGCGATACATCCTCCGCGGTTCGAGTGATCGGGGTCAGCGATTCGTCGGACAGCGGTGAACGGTGATCGAGCGTCGCGCGCGCCACGGACCATCTCTGGAAGAGAACGATCGGGGAGGATTGATCGGTTCGTTCACTCACTGGTGTCGGAGGTGTGCACGGGAGTGGTAGCCGGCGTGTTCGGGGGCTGATGTTGCGTCGGCTGCGGTGGTATGCCGAGGGACGCGAGAAGCGGCCGGGACACTGCACCAGGGGTGGCTGTCGGTGGCGGCGGGCTCTCCTGGCCCACGAGCAGGCTCGCAGGCGGGAACCCGAAGAGCTGGGATCACTGGAGCCTCGGCCAGTAGTTGCCGGTCAGGTCTGGAGTTTGAGACGGGATCTGGACTGGCACCGAGACGCCCGCCGATATCACGCCTGTAACAAAGGAAAACGTTTTGTTCTTACCATCAGCGGTTCCCTTGCGAACTCCTTGATTCGTAGACATAGATTAGTTCGAAGGAGCTATATTTCAGGTAAAGGAGGCATCGGTTGGCGTATTATACTAAACCGTGATTCCTGTAAAATAAGAGTGAGTAAGCGGGAGTTTCTTTTCTAAGACAATTCTGGAGGCTTCGAATGTCGGGAATTGAGATAAAATGAAAATTTCTTGATACAAGTAACAAAAAAATAAATCCTACAGGGAGCTGAACTCTTTCGAATTTAGTTTAATGTAACAATACTTCAACGTTAACTTAAACACAAATCAATCCACTCGACAGTACGAAACGCTCAAACGGTACCCGAAGAATAACGAGCATCCTCTTACAAAGGAACCTCCGAAAAAGACCAAACCCAGCGTTCTCACCAGCAAACATAGCGCGGTCGGGAACATTCGAGTTTCACTTCGCGGAACGGATTACCGGAATAAATCACGACGGAACGGTCGAGAGATCGAACAGCGAGCGTTCTTCGTGAAAACTATACGCGTCGGGGGTCGACAGGCGGACACTTGGCAATGGGAACGACGACGGGACATCGCCGGGTGGCGGCGACGGCAACGAGCGCGGTGAAAGTCCCCAGCGCTCATGCACGTAAAACGATTATGATGGATAAGTTGCGGCTCGTTCCGCACGTAAGAAGCGCGAGAAACGTGGAACGCGCGGCCGAGGAGAGGCTGAGGGAGAAA